TCTTGGTGAAATTTTTGAACCTAAATATATAATGGGTTAGCACAAATATTGTAGTCGCTATTAAATGTGTGTGTGTGTGTGTTTTTACTCTCTGATTCATTTTTCATATTTATCATGTTATGATGGTGGAGTTGTCAGTGGCTTACTGGCTTTAGTCTCATAACAATCTCACGATTGGTTTTATATATATTCAGTTATTCATTTATCCCTTGAAAAAGGATAATATGAGCCTGGTTCTGTTCATTAAGGTCTTCTATTTAATATTATGCTCTTGTTTAGCGCGAGTTTTGGCTAATTTTTTTTTTTTTTTTACTCTTGTTTACCAGATTATATCTGGCTGGTTGGAGACTTGGCTTGAATGAGTTTAGAGTATGAGCTTGGCGGGAAATGCCTTGGTTGTCTGCTCAAGGAGCTTCTTTTACTTGGTTTATAAATATAGGACTTTTGTTTCCTTCTATATCAGAGGTGGTTTTGATTATTGTTGTATATTGTTATTATTATTATTATTATTATTATTATTATTATTATTATTATTATTATGAGGATGGTTTATTTGAATTCTTTTTTTCTTGAGTTGGTAGTGTATCAAGGTGATATTAAAACTTAATATTGAGTAATTGGTTATCTATCTTGTGTTCTTTTGGTATTGTACGTGTTTTTTTTCTTGAGTTGGTAGTGTATCAAGGTGCAATTTGTCACACAGAGAGAAAGATAAAGAGAGGGATTCCTATTGACCAGCTTGCAATCTTTCAGAGTTAACTTCTCCAACCACACATATTATATGTTAAAAAAAATACAAATATTACTCAAGTGAGATATATATTCATGCACTTACACACACATCTATCTTGGTTAAAATAAATACAAAATGGTGAAGAAATAGTAATAAAGAAAATTAATTGTCTTTGCTAATATTAACCGTGTCAAATTAGATCATATTATTCAGAAAAGTAAATAATAATTATAATTTTTTGCATTAGTGTATGGGATTTTGCTAAGGCTTTAAGCCTCAGGTTGTTTCTTCAAAAAGTAATATTAATATATATATATATATATAGCCATATACATACAGAATAGATTCTAGTGTGTGTGGCAGTTATCAAACTTATAATATATGACAGAAAGACATCAGGCATTCATTCAACTCGTCACATTGCCCATAATATCATATATATAATATATATATATGTTGACACCCATTTTGGTAATTACATGGGCATTAACGTGGAGTAAGTATTGGTTTGAAATGAAACATTCTCGGCAGAATTACTGGGCAGTGATGTGGCTATAATTTGGGCTGAAATGGGTTTATGTTGTTTACGTGGATTAAAATACATGCAAAGGTTGGAGAAGCCTTTGAATTGACTAGTGGATAAGGATCAAAAGGTAGTATTTATCTTTTAGATAAGTTTAGTTATATAATTTTAGTATATATCGATTAGTTTGTGTTAGATAAATGGTGATAGTTATCTCTAGGATTAGTTTATTTTGAATTTACAGTTGTTTTGATATAGAGTTGTAATGCAGGTAAAATACTTGCGTGTACGATTTAGTTACGAATTATTCTATAAATAAACAAAGTGGCATGTTGTACTATAGGTCCAGCACCCTCAGAATCCTTATTATTATTGTTTGTTTCTTCAAGCCTTTCTAAGAATAGCATCCTTGCTATTTCTTCTTCATCTCTATCTATCTCTCTCAATATTCTCATTCTATCTTTTTCTTTCTCTCTCTCAATCTTTCCCCCTATATCTCTTTCTATATCTGTTTCTCCCCTTTTCTACTCTCAAAACGTTACTACAATCTATTCATTGCAAAGTCCTTTTAACTAAGGCAAGTAGAACTCATTAAGGAGTTTATTTGTTCTCTTCCTCTTATAATCACCTGAAGTCAACCATCTCTAAGAGACTGCAAGTTGACAATTTACAATCAAACCATATATTTGGTTCTGGCACGCCCGCCAAATCTAAAATCAAGAATCGGATCTTAGGAACCGATTTTAGCGTCAACATTTTTGGCACGCCCGGTGGGACCCATCAGGTGAGCAAATTATAGTAAAGATGCCTCCAAAGCTAAAAAATTCGAAAGGTGTGACTACAGGTAACAATACTGACGAGGAAAACCAGCAACTCGGCATTGGTGATGATGCCGACTCATCTATTCCATCCGATCTTCCTTTGGGTCGGGTACTGGAATCGATTATGCAGAAAATTGATGCCCAGCAAGCACAGATCGGTAAAGTAAGGTCTCATGTGGGGGAATCAAATCAAATTTTGGTTTCTCAGAAACATGAGATGAGGTTAATGACTGGAGAATTAAATCCGATGATGTACGCTCAAATGGAGAAGATGAATCAGAGGCTTGAAACCAGTATATCGGTTAATCAAAATCGACATGATCAAGCCGAAGCATCCATATTAATAAGTCCATATTCCAGCGTATGACGGCACCATTGATACATATATCCCAGGGGCCTCGAACAAGCATTATACCGCCAAGTGCAGGACTTGGTATTACAATCGGCAATGTGCTGAATCATACACTCGGCATGCCGATTGGGAATCCACCAATCTTATCAGATCCACCAGTAGTAACTACTGTGTCGGTATATCATCCACCAATGAATAATCAGCATAATCAAAATGTGCAACATCCACATGTGCAGCCGATTCCACCAGTGAGAGATCAGCAAGAAGTGGTAGGAAACCTAAACCAAGGTAGTGCTAATCCATTGATACCTCCAGCGGCTGCCGGGGGGCAAGTAAATATCGATCCACAAAGAGAGTGGGTTAATCCATTCATTCCGCGGCACCCAAATGATCCTCCAGGAAGAAATGCAAGGATCGATAGGGCTCAAATTTTGGCTTTAATACAGGCCGAAGTGGCACAGGGTCGTAGACGTGCTTGGCCAGTATACAGAAAGCCCTATCCTGATTATGTCGATGCCTATGATTTGCCTAGAAATTATCGATATCCTGATTTTTTTATATACAGTGGTGAAGAGAATTTTTCTACGGTGCAACACATTGTAAGGTTCACAGCACAATGTGGTGAAGCTGGCCCAAGTCTTTGGTTGAGGATGAGATTATTCTCTAGTTCTCTAGCCGAGGCGGCGTTTGAATGGTATAGCAACTTACCAGCTAACTCTATTCATACTTAAGATGAAATGGAGGAAGCCTTCCATACCCAATTCTACCGAACAGAGACAGAGGCTATGTTGGCAGACATATCCCATTTATCTCAGTTGCCAAGCGAATCGGTTGAAACTTTCATGGCCAGGTTCAGAAAAGCTAAACTCAAATGCCAAGTAAGTTTGCCAGAACCAGAATACATCAAGTTGGCATTGAACGATTTAAACATTGAACATTTCAAGAGGTTTGATGGGGTCGAGTTTCAAGATCTCTTCGATTTGGCAGACAGAGCTTCTCAGTATGAGGAAATACTAAAAGAAGAGAAAGAAAGGAAGAATTCTTCTAAGGGTACTTGATACAAGGACCCTAATTATAAGGTATTCTCGGCAGAAGTTAGAGATGAACTAGAAGTTGACATTGTAGAGGTCAATATTAAAAAACCATACATTTGTGAGGCATTGGTTAAACCTAAGCCAACCACGGGGGGCAATGCAACATCAACGTCCACATTGGCACCGACAGCAAGGAAAGGTCTTGCCGATACTGGGAGAAGTTATTCTTTCGACTTGTCGAAAACAGATCAAATCTTTGATCACTTGATGGCCAATAAAATGTTATCGTTGCCTAAAGGGCATAAGATTCCATCGGTAAGTGACCAGAAAGGAAAAGAGTATTGTAAGTATCATAACTCTTGGAACTATGCTACTAATTATTGTACTGTTCTACGAGGTGTATTGCAGAAAGCTATTGATGAAGGTACTTTAAAATTCCCGGAGAAAACTTTGGAAACCATAAAGGTGGATACCAATTCATTTCCTACAATCGCATCTACTAATGTGATAATCTTAGCCAAGCGAGAAAATCAGCATGAAGCTGAGAAGGTGTCAAGTAAGTAAAAACCTAAAGAAGAAGAGCCAATGGAGGTTCAACCAAAGAGGAAAAGAATTCTTGAGTGGCTTACCTTCCCAATTAAGCCTGGTGAAGAGTCTCGGTAGGATAATTCTAGCAACAGTCATGTAAAGGCAGAAAAGCAAAATCGGCTAGAATATATATCTAGCCGATTCCATTCCCAAAATCGGCATTCCTCAAAAATAAAAATTACAGAAGAGGTCTTCGATACAGATGTTGCTGAGTTAGATGATGATGATTGGCGGATTCCTTATATCTTATTCTTACCACATCCAACTCTAGAAGCCGATCGAAAAATAAAAAGAAGTGCAGTCGATTATGTACTTATGGATGGAGATCTTTATAGAAGATCGGCTGATGATGGTCTACTATTTCAATGTTTTAGCAAGTTTAAAGGTTTAAAGATTATGACAAAGGTACACGAAGGAATATGTGGAGCTCACCAAGCCGGCATCAAAATGAGATGGTCGATACGCTGATATGGATATTATTGGCCTAGAATGAGGAAAGATTGCATGACCTATGCAAAGGGTTGTACAGATTGTCAAAAGCATGGCCCAATGCAGTGGGTTCCAGCAATAGAGATGCAATTATTAGTCAAACCATGGCCTTTCAGAGGTTGGGCCATGGACGTAATCGGCAAGATTAATCCTCCTTCATCAAAGGGTCATTATTGGATTATTTTAGCTACCGATTACTTCACCAAAAGGGTAAAAGCCGAGGAATATGTATCAGTAACTTGTAATACTGTTATACAGTTTTTAGAGCGACATATCTTTTACCGATTTGGTTTATCAGAAACAATTGTTGCTGATAATGGATCTGTGTTTCGAGCAGGAGAAGTATTGTAACTCGGCTATGATATGCAAGTAAAAATAGTAACTTCAACACCCTATTATGCTCAAAGGAATGGCCAAGCTGAGGCTTCGAATAAAGTTGTAATTGAAATCATTGAAAAAAATGATAAAGGATAAGCCGAGGTGTTGGCATGAAACCTTTTCAGAAGCCTTGTGGGCTTATAGAAATTTAAAGCGAACAAGTACTGGAACAACTCCTTATCGATTAACCTTTGGCCATGATGCTGTGTTGCCAATGGAGTTAAATGTAAAATCGGCAAGGGTAGCTCTACAACATAATCTTATACCTGCCGATTACAATGAAGCTATGCTTGCCGAGTTGGAGGATTTAGATGAGGTTCAAAAACTTGCTTTAGACCACCTTATGGTCCATAAAGCAAAGGTAATGAAGGCTTACGACAAAAGGGTGAAGTTCAAGTCATTTGCAGAGGGTGACATGGTTTGGCAAACAATTCTCCCACCAGGAAAAGTAGACAGAACTTATGGCAAGTGGTCACCTACATGGAATGGACCATATATAGTTCATCAGGTGTTGCATGGAGGTGCATATAAGTTGAAGGATTTAGATGGTGAGGTGCATGAAAGACCAATAAATGAAAGGTATATGAAGAAGTATCAACCCATTATTTTTGAACTTATGAAGGAAAAGAAAGCCTCTAATAATTCAAATATAAAGGGTGAGTGTTCAGCTTAAGCCATTTATGAAACTGGAATAAGAATGATAGTGAGTGGTTCTATAGTGTGTATATCAACTCAATGCAATTGGTATTATTTGAATTTTAGAAGCCGAAGGGTTAAAACGGCTACCAAAATTGGGGGGCATTGTTGACACCCATTTTGGTAATTACATGGGCATTAACGTGGCAGTAAGTATTGGTTTGAAATGAAACATTCTCGGCAGAATTACTGGGCAGTGACGTGGCTATAATTTGGGCTGAAATGGGTTTATGTTGTTTACGTGGATTAAAATACATGCAAAGGTTGGAGAAGCCTTTGAATTGACTAGTGGATAAGGATCAAAAGATAGTATTTATCTTTTAGATAAGTTTAGTTATATAATTTTAGTATATATCGATTAGTTTGTGTTAGTTAAATGGTGATAGTTATCTCTAGGATTAGTTTATTTTAAATTTACAGTTGTTTTAATATAGAGTTGTAATGCAAGTAAAATACTTGCGTGTAGGATTTAGTTACGAATTATTCTATAAATAAACAAAGTGGCATGCTGTACTAGAGGTCCAGTACCCTTAGAATCCTTATTATTATTTGTTTGCTTCTTTAAGCCTTTCTAAGAATAGCATCCTTGTTATTTCTTCTTCACTTCTATCTATCTCTCTCAATATTCTCGTTCTATCTTTTTCTTTCTCTCTCTCAATCTTTCCCCCTATATCTCTTTTTATATCTGTTTCTCCCCTTTTCTACTCTCAAAACGTTACTATAATCTATTCATTGCAAAGTCCTTTTAATTTAGGCAAGTAGGACTCATTAAGGAGTTTATTTGTTCTCTTCCTCCTATAATCGCCTGAAGTCAACCATCTCTAAGAGACTGCAAGTTGACAATTTACAATCGAACCATATATTTGGTTTTGGCACGCCCGCAAAATCTCAAATCAAGAATCGGATCTTAGAAACCGATTTTAGCGTCAACAATATATTTCATAAGTAGGTAGAATTAAAGAAGTATAATACACACACACACACACACACACACACACACACACATATTGTATGATCTATATAAATAATGTTGAGGCAATCGAGGACCAATCGGCTCTTGGGAGACGGTGACAAATAGCAAATAAGTTGATAGAGTTGACCCGACATCGGTTTTCTTTAATTTCTTTCGAGTTGACCCACTCCAGCTCCCATTTAGACACTCTAAGATGACACTATTACTGCACATGGTGATTAAATACTTTGTCTTTTTAATGAACCATAAGAGAGAGCCAAACAACAAAACCATGGTCACCATTTTCGGCTTTGGTCATAGAAATATTTTGGATAGACTTTGAATTTTTTTTTAAGACGTCTATAGATTAAAAAGAGTAAATAAAAACATAACCTTAAAATAGGGAACATCAATGCAACAAAACAAAAATAACATAAGCTTTTGTAACGACTCGGATTTCTCAACCCGGTACGTTAGTGATGAACCAGAAGTTGACCCGATAACGAACCCGAAATGCGGAAGCGAAAGAAGCCAAATGATCTCAAGAGATGTACGTCATCCCTAAAGCCCCAAAATGACTCTCCATGAAGCCACGGAACTCAAATGAGCCAAGCAAATGAAGCAAGAATGCCTAACCCGAAAAGAGATGAACTAAGGGCAACATGGTCATTTCTCACTGAAAAGGGTGCCACCGTGCACTCCATTAGAAGGACAATGAAAAATGAACAAAATTAGACTCAGGAATCGTCTGATTCTGAGTCCGGGCAGAAAAGATATGAAATTCCAACACCCGATGCGAAAGTTATAAAGCAATGACTTAACATTTTCCAATATTTTCATAATAAACTTTGAAAACAAAAGTGCATAGAAAACGAGATACATATCATTGGCCTCCGGCCTTATCTCATACATATTAAATACATTGAAAAGAGTGCACTTACGTACACTTTACATATACGAATCAACGAATACAAGTTTAAACAAATAAGGCTACAAAGAGGCATTTTATGCTAACACTTGCATAAAATAGAAACTTAAAAACTGTAAGCCATCCAAGGAGCAATGGAATCTTCAAATCCTGAGTCCTGTACCTGAAATATGCCCCAGTATCGTAGGGGTGAGTAACATAAAGCTACTCGTAGGAGATGAGCATGCATCGACCTAGCATTTTACAATTTTATCACCTTATGGTGAAACATGTTAAAGGGGCTCATGCCACCTAATGTCTATGTCAAGATGAGACCCAGGGAGCATCCTAAGCTACCTAGATCATTTATATCATAATCACATTGTTCATGCAATTCAAACAACATGGAAACATGTCATACAAGGCAACAAGATATAGATTCTCAAAGTCTTCAACTTGAAATCCAAAATACGAAAACAACAAGTGTGAGTCATGCCACCTAACGTCTATGTTCAAAATGAATTTATAAGGTCATTCCTAAACTACATCTGAACATCAAAACACAAATTATGATATCGATGCAATTTAACCGACAATGGAATTTCCAATACAACGCATGAAGCATGCTTTCACAAAGCTACATCTTAAGCTCAAAATAAGAAATCAAATAAGGAACAACAAGTTACGATATCATCTAGTTATCAACTTGAAATGAAATACGAAATCAAACAAAGTGGATACTCGGACGCATGCCGGATCAGACCGACAACATAGTTACTTTAGGGTTACTAGCCCATGGGTAACCTCCCTATGTGCACACTAGACTATATAGAGGGACAATCCCCCGTACTAGAACCAAATCATAGCCGTAGCCAAACAACGACATCCCCAAGTTTCCAAAATCAACAAATTATACAACAACGTATATATATCAACATGTATATACAAGATATCAGCTATTTACCAAGCACAATCCAAATTTTGGAAACTTATACAATACATGCTCAAAATTCACAACTACTATGGCATGTAAGATGTCAAATACAAAGTGTGCAAATCCTTACACATAGCAACAATATATTCAATAAGGAAAAACTTATTCTCATGAATATAAAAGTAACAACTATGTTGTCCAATATTCAAAAGTAATCAAGTGAACATACATCAAATCCAAATCCATGATTTAAATATAGAAACAACTTCCAAAATGCAATTAAATCCATGGAGTAATAAAGTAGAATTTAATTAAACATAAATAGTTAAATTCTCTAAATTGCAAGTTAATCCAAATAACCTCAATTTAATATATATTGAAAGATATGTCATGGTCATCATATATATAACATCAAATGACAAGTTTAGTGATTAAAACACTTAAAACAAAATTAATCTAGCTAATTAATTAATTTCCTCTACATTTTTAAACAATTCCAAATGCCCTCAATTTAATCTATGTCAGAGAACATGCCAAGGCCTATTTAAATATCACATTACAACTTGATTTAATGCTTGATACAACCATGTGAATTAAACTTTCACTAAAGATAAATATTAAATAAAAGTTGTAATTGTTAATCAAATGATCCAAATTTAGTATATGTTAACCAATATATCTAAGCATAATTTCCTAGCATGTTACAATTCAAATCAAAGTTACACATCATCATAAATTTTAAATCTTATACAAAGAAATAAAAATTACTAACTTTCTAGATTTGATACAAGGCATACATATATGTTGTATAATTATGGCAAACACACAAAACAACACTAAAATAATCCTAAAACATTCCCTACCTCAATTTGAATAAAAATCCCAATTACCACCGAAATGAAATCGCCTTAAATTTTTGGTCCGCAAAACAGATTTTTCAGCTTGCTACCTTCAACTTGTAAAATTCATAAAAAATTCAATTCTAACCCAAATTGAATGAATCCAAAGCCCAATGAAAGCTTAAACACTTTAATTTGATAATATAAATTTATTTTAACAAAATATTTTCCCAATTGAAACAGTTTTGACTCACAACTTTGAAACAAATTCTGCCCAGAAAACGCATTTTCAGCCTGTAGCTTCCAACTTTGAAAATTCATGAAAAATTCATTTGACATCCAAATTGGGCAAACCTAATTTACTTTGGAAGTAAACATATGAGAGTGTAAAAATGAAAATTTAAGCCATGATCCAATGTCAAAAGGTTAGTGAAATAAATTATCTAAAAATATGTTTTCCAGCTGCAATAAAAACATGGATAACAGATAGTTTCAGATTTTTAAAAAAATTTAGAAATGCTTTAAAATCATGAAAAAATTTTGAGTAGTGTAAAACCCATGGGGGAAGTTCCAGTAAAAGTTTCAAGGCAATTGAAGCACCATAACTTCATATAAAAAATTCATTTCTGGACCAATAAAGAAAAGCTTCAAATTTCCAGCAACTAGGTTGCAACTTCAAAAATTCATAACTAATTCATTTTAAATCCAAATTACATGAAACCAAAACTAAATGAAATCTAATTGAGTATATTTTCATATTCTATATTTAATTTGACAAGATTAATTTGAAGTTAAAACAGTTTAAGGGCAAAATACAAGTCATTCTCTTCCATGCATGTAAAACACTCAATAATGACATAAAAATACTTCAAAATAATAGATCAATACCTCACTATAGAATTGAATCTCTAGATACCAAAGCAAAACTAAGAGTTAGGCTAGATCCTTCAAGGGTTTTGAAGAGTAGGATGAGGGGAACAAAAAGTATTCCAAGTTCAAAGTTCTAAGGTGAGTGAAAGGGCACCAAAAATGAAGTCAAAGCTACTTGTCAAGCTTTTCTCCAATGGTGGCTTCCTTAGGGTTCTTGAGAGGAAAGTGATGAATGAATTAAAATCTGTAAACCTAAGCTAAATTGGTGGGCTTCTCCACTCACTAGGTGCTCTTGCACTACATCACACACACACACTAATGCAAGACTAAAGGTGAGTCCTACACTTGTCATGAATCCAAGTAAGCTTCAAAGATTAAATATTAACCCTACACTTGTCAACCATCCATGCCAACAAGTGCACTAATCCTAGGACAACAAGTGGGTGAATCTCTACCCTCCATGTGTCAAGAGATT